GCAACATTTGAACACGGCACTTGCTAGATTACACCCTGATAAGGTGCAATGTAGCAAATTTTTACTACATTGCACATTGAAGACTTTCAAGGTGCAATCTAGCAATTTTTTGCTATTTTGCACATTACGCCCTGATAAGGTGCGATGTAGCATTTTTTTGCTAGATTGCACCTTGAAAGTCTACTTTCAATTTATGTTATCACGGCGCATTATAAAAGTGATAAAGTAACGGTTATATTGTTTATTTGACTGAAATTCTTGTTGAAATGGCCATTCAAACCGCTGCTATTAAACAATATCAATCTTACGTCATTTGATGATTTGATATGAACATATAAAAAAGCAGACCGTTTGTTAATCAATGTTTCATTTACACTAATAGACAGCATTTATGCACCAGAGCAGTGACTAGTATAACCTAAAAATGTTCGGCCGCGAGACTCAAAAACCACCAACTGTTTGTCTCTAGCACGTCAGGTTCGTTGGAAAATGGTCTATCTTGAAAATTCCATGTTTTGCATATGCACGATTTCACATTAATGTCTGTAAAATTGTTTGTGAGTGGGGTACCACCAAAGTCAGGATGGCTCTAGAAACTAGAAGGTCCCACCTTTTGAACGCGCTATAGGTCATTGAAGTAGGTACAGTGGTCCAAAAGTTATGGACCTGGAAAATGTTAAAACATCATTGAAAAATCTCAATTTTAGCTAAAGATCGTGAATTCGTAATTATCTGGCAGATTTTATTTCTTTATCGTAAAGAGCATTAAATTTTGAACAATTTAGCCATGAACGTGCTATCAAGAAAACAAATTTCAGTAGTTTTCAGTACTTTCAGTCAATTCAGTAGTGATTCGCCCCTTGGATTATATGATATGATAGTGAATATTCAACGCATTTTGAAATCATTTTGTTGATTTGAACTTCATTATCAATCAAATTACCACTATCATTGGATCTTCTGACAATGGAAATTTTCTGAAAAAGTCCGTTGCGTTTTAAACGTCAATAATTAACCATTATGTTCAAAACGCAATGCTATGCTTTCAACTAAATTGTTCCAAGTAGTGAATCACAATAAACGGTAGACTCATTGGCAAGCTTTAATTACTTTACCATCAAAAACGATTTTACTGCCTCATTGCCTTGCCGTCTTTAATGAATTGCGAAATGAACATTTAATCGTCTCTCAAACACATGATGCAAGATTAAATGATGAAGCTTTGAGTCAAGATTAAATTAAACCATTTGTAATTTGTAAGGTTTTTCGTTCTTGTGTTTGATTGGAAATGAATGAATTCACAGAGTAATCTTAAACAACATACTTGTAATCTAATCTTTCATCAAGTGGATTTCCCTATTTTTCAGTGGCGCTTGTTGAATCTACTCCAGATTTTGATTTCACAATATACTGAATGCTATTGTTTCCGCATTCCCCAATTAATGTTATCAGAACCGATTGATAAGGTTATCGTTTTTCTTCAATTCGAACATGATACAATGCCATACAGTGACTCAATTTTTCATTGTAGAGAAGACACTTGAAATTCTTGAAGCTGTTAAAGTAGAGTCATGAATGAATACGAACTGATACGGGAGAATGAATGGCATTGACATTGTAATAACCAGTTACGAAGTATGCCTTTTTTCATTGACCTCCCACATCAATGAATCGAAATGACTGCTTCGTTGGACGTGTCATTCATGATCATTCGTTCTATTACGTAATGTATACATAGAGCACATATATTGGTGATGAATGTATATTTGTAGGCACATGTGCTTCGACTTTGTTGTGTATTCATTTGAAATTGATAAGTGGTTTAAATTAAATACCATTGAAACCTACTTCTTCACTCTATGAGTTTCATCTAGGGGCATTTCTCACGCAAAAAATTGAAACGAATGTGCAAGAATTTAAGATATTTCTTCTTTCCCATTGAAATGGTATAAAAATGTATGAAATTGTCTGGAATTGTCAAATTTAATGTGAACTACATTCCAGTCAATTCTAAAACATTTTGGTGAATTCACTGCAATTTCATAAATTCGGTTCTGTTAGCAAGTACAAATCTTAAGTACGTACCTAAGCTTAAGTATAAAGATTGTCATCCTTAAGTACATACTTAACATACTTAACGTACTTACATATCAAGCTTAAGTACGTACTTAAGCTTCATACTGCGAACGTATTTCACACATTCAGTGTAAATGTTGATCCATTTACCCGAATTGATAGAAATGGAAGAAATTGTTCAATATTTATTGGAATGGTCCCATTTTTTAAGTGAGAAATGCCCCTAGGTTTCATTGCGTCACTCATTTGTTGTTGTTTTGATAATTCTCTCCATTGTTTTGCTCCCAACTATAAATTGACAGTGATGTGCGTGAAATCACAGGATAATAAGCATGATGATAAAGTGAACCTGATACTTGGATGAGTTTTTGTATTCTTTTCGCTATTACGCACTGCTTTGATTTGACAACAATTACAACTGCTTTTCATATTTTTATATTTATTGTTTATATAATTTAAAATAAATTTTACAAAACCGATCAAGATATCTTCGGAACGAACATACAAATCGAATCATATCACACCCATAAGTTTGCTCTAACTTAAGTTGAAACCACTTTGGCTTTCGTTTAGGAAGTTTTAATTTTAATTGACGCTTGATGTGAAAGCGCTCGGAATGCGGTTTTGATAAGTTTATAAGCGATGAATATGGCTGAAGTGCAAATGAATATGAGAAAAGCATAACAATCGAGATTGTAGTAAATGTAGAATGGCATATCGATGCCTGTGCTGCGTAGCTGTGACGCTCCCTTGTACTTTGCAACATGTTTGACCCAATGAATCACTGTTTTCATCGGCGTATTTAGCTGGCCGTGGAATTGTTCCGATAGCAGTTTGGCTGTTCGTGCATAACTGATGGAATAAGAGTATTTTGTTCAGAATTCGATACGAATACACTGAGATTAATCAATTGTGTGATAAAAACCTTGGATTTTTCAGTGCACTCCTAATAGATGACTTCAAATTTTGTTCGTCCAACTGTTCGTATGATACAGTGACAGCGTAACCTTTGGATTCAGCCAATGCCATACTTTAATATGATTAAATAAGATTTCGTTAATATACTACAGATAATATTCAAAATCACATTGTTAATAATCATACTTCAGATACTGGTCGTAAAGAACGGGAATGCCAACGGCAGGTTTGCCATAATAAACGGTTTCAATGGTGCTGAGCAAGCCTAAATCAAAATTTCCAATGCATTCAAAAACTATTTCACATAATTTGTTTCAGAAAAAAATCGATTGTACCTCCGTGTGTGCAGAAGAGCTTAAGATTCGGATGCGCTAAAATTTCTTGCTGATTGAACCAATCACGGACGAGAACCATGTCAGATGAATTATGTGAGGGAATTGGAAAATGGCCTTCATTTTTAATGAGAATTTTCATCTTAGGGAATTCAGCGAATGCATTCGCTATGATTGCCTTCTGTCGGCTGGGGATTTTCGATAGTTTGATGTTTGATCCGAGCGAAAAGAAAATGGCACCATCTTTAGCTCCATTCAAAAAGGTTTGTACATCTTCGTTTAATGAGATGGCAGTTTCATTCACATGAATGCCACCGATTTCGATGAGGTTTGGTGCCAATGGCTGTGGTGTTGCGTACGTCACATGCGAATTCACGAATACGAGTGGCACATTTTGAAGCACTTCATTGAAAGTTGGAACATCAGTTCGATTCCACCAAATTGCTTCCATGAATTTCTGCTGTTTCGGTCTGTAGTACAGTTCGGTGGCAATGTCTTCGTACCAATACGACAATGAGTTGTACACCCGTTGCCAGAAATTCATTTTGTCAGAGAAACCGCACAGAATATTCGGTACATGCGATGCGAAAGGTGACAATCCGACGAGATCTGAGGTCCATTTTGATGGAACCGTGGTAGAAAATCCAATGACTGGAGCATTGTAATATTGACCCAAAGAGAGGAGCGCATCACCAACAAACACCTCCACAATGACTACGTCAAAGTGACGGTTTTGAAGAAGGAAATTTTGGAAATTTTCACTTCGGATCGCTGAACGTGTCCAATTCGTACTGACATCATACGTTGCTTTTGCCAAATCCCAGAAATGTAAATTATTATAATTCACATAATTCCCCGAGCGCACCTCTATTGAAATGATTATTTTGTATTAATAACAATACGAAATTGAAATTTAATGCAGTATTAATTCATCTTCAATTTTAAAATCGAATTTCGTTATGACTTTTCGTTATGTCTCTATGAGGATGCCGTACCTTTCAAACCATCCGAAACACTGCGTTCTAAATAAACTTCTTCATAGTTTGGAATGGGATGTTTCTCTATGAACGGCGTTAGAACGGTGACATGATGACCGTCTTGTGCCAGGGCTTTCATTATTGCATGACCAATGATATAGTGTGATTTTGATGCCGATTGCAATACACCCAAAATATTGTAACTATTCACCGTGGAACTAGTCACACACAAAACTAACAACATCAACGTCTTCACTCTCATTTTTTTTCGTCTGAAAATTGCTTACTCTCTCGAAAATAAAACTTTTGGACTGGAATCTTCAACGAATTTTTCATCTATTTATTTAGACACAATTGAAGGTTAAAACAATCTTATCGCAGCAATTCAGGTTGAATGTCTTATTGTACAACTTTATTTCAATCAAAATATCAATGCTTGCGCTTGTTTTGGGAGCACGTATTATCTAATTATGTCAATAAACTAAAGTGACACAAGTTGATTTGGTTTTGAACGTCCTTAAACCGATCCATTACTGTGATAATCGCAGTAGAATCACGTAGGCAGTGTAGAATGATTCATATTTTCAAAATTAGAATGTAAGTGTCAACGATCTGGGTATCCTTGTCGATTGAAAAATATTTTTTGTTGAGACTACTTGTACATAACGGCATGCTATCAGTAATCTGTTTTGTGTTTTCTTGGTTTCGTTTCTGTAATTCTGTTCAGTTTGTTTTTGCCTTCATTCCCTTAGAACCAATAAAAACCAGACTTGAAAACATTCTGGAAACTCCCATAATTAGCACGAAACTGGTGAATGTAATTATGCTACAAACGCAAAAGACAAGAGCCCAACAGTCGAGACTGTAGTATGTGTAAAAGGGTAAGTCGATGCATGTGCTTCGCAAATGCGATGCACCATTATACTTGGCAATATGTTCAACCCAGTGAATGGCCGTTTCCATTGGAGTATTGTATTCATTTGATTGTGATATCGCTCTGAAATGAGTTTGACCGTTTTCGCATAGCTAAAATAATGAAAATCTGTTATCAATCAAATTCAATGAACAAAATAAATCAAAGAGAGAGCTACTTATTGACTCTACAATTTTAGGCATCTTTCCATTGCCGGGAATCGAACCACGGACCTTCTGATTGCCGGTCAGAAGCTCTGTCCATTGAGCTACAACGACCCCCAAGCGAACATTGTTGCATTTTTCATTGTTGCATTTTTCATTTTTTACCTTGTAAGGTGATCGTTGATTCCACAGTCTTTAAATTCAGATATTGATAAAAAAAATACGGAAATGTCAACGATTGGTTTGCCAAAATAAACGGTTTCGGTGGTACTGAGTAGACCTAAATTGAGAGGGACATTATTTAAATGCCTCTTGCTTCGTTTGCAATGTATAAAGAAAAAATAGTAGATTGAGTTGAAGTACATCCGTGCGTGCAGAAGAGTTTAAGGTTTGGGCGAGACAATATCTCTTGTTGGTTGTACCACGGTTTAACGAGAACGATCAATGGCTTATGCGAAGGAATTACAAAATCTTCTTCATTTTTAATAAGAATTCTCACATTTGGGAACTCATGAAATGAATTAGCTACGATCGCTTTCACTCGGTCGGACATTTTCGAAAGTTTGATATCCCGTGTGGAAAAGTTTGGAACCACTAGGTATTTTTCATACAAATTGACCATTTTTGGTAGACTCATTAACATATTTCGGAAACACCTGCATAGTTTCTACAACGTTTCAATAGTAAATCACAGAGGTTTCATCAAAAAATATTCACGTATTTAAAAAATATATCAATTTGAATTTGATCTGTTTTAATCTTCATACAAATTTGATCATTTTTCACACAGTACAAATTCAAATTGCTATATTTTTGAAATTCACGAATATTTTTTGATGAAACCTCTGTGATTTACTATTGAAACGTTGTAGAAACTATGCACAAAATATCAAGAGAGCAGGTGTTTCCGAAATATGTTAATGAGTCCACCAAAAATGGTCAATTTGTATGAAAAATACCTAGTGGTTCCAAACTTTTGCACGGTAGTGTATGGTACTGCAATTGGTTTTCTTAATATGTTCCAGTTTCATTATATTTTGACTCCTCCCTTCATCTTATCACGAAGCTTGATTAGATGCATTAATCTTCTTACTTCGAAAGTTATTTAAAGCCGGCGCCGGAGCAACATATTTGTGTTGGCTCAACGGCATTGTCAGAAAAATATAAATCGGTGCAATTATGGTGCGAAAAAGAAATTTTTGCTTCCCTTTCTAATGGCATATTTAAGTATGTACTTCTCATTCCTTCGTTACCCATATTTTCTTTTTATTTTGTTCTTGTCATGCTCTGTGCCCTATTGTTATTTATACAAAAATTTCGATTTTTTTTGTGTTCTTTTATTTCTGCCAAGTGTTCATAAACATGGATAATAATTTGACAATCAAATAAATGGGTTTTGCTATCAAAATGTGTGTATACACACACTATAATAGTCGAAGCAAATATCATATATAATCTCTCATTTGGCTTTCATTTTTGTTTTGAGTTTTTCGGCTTTAATGGGCTTTGTGAATGGAAATAATCGTACAACGCATTTAATCGTCTTGAAAATGATAAGCAACACTAAACTGCAAACAAATATGATAAAGGACCAACAATCGAGACTGTAATACACATAGAATGGTTGATCGATGCCTGCGCTACGCAAATGTGGTGCCCCTTTGAACTTTGCTATGTGCTCAACCCAGTGAATGGCTGTTTCCATCGGAGAATTCATCTGACTGTGATAACGTCCGGAAATGAGTCTGGCTGTGTTTGCATAGCTAAAATTATAATTTAAATATATTTTTTAGAAGAAAATTCTATCATACTAATTCAAATAGAATCGATTATTTTATTTAAGAACCTTGGATTTGTTAGCACGCTTCTAATTGCTGATTTCAAATTATCTTCATTCAATCGTTCGTACGGCACACTCACGCCATAGCCTTTGAATTCAGCTAATTTTGCATTCACGTGCTGATCATAAAACACGGGAATGCCAACAATTGGTTTGCCAAAATAAACTGCTTCAATGGTGCTGAGTAATCCTGGACCGACAAAGAATTAAATATGAAAATGAATGATACTCTCATTGAGCAATTTAAAAATTTGGTTTTGGAACCACTTTGTACCTCCGTGCGTGCAGAAGAGTTTAAGGTTTGGGTGAGACAATATCTCTTGTTGGTTGTACCATGGTTTAACGAGAACGTCCGATGGCTTATGCGAAGGAATCACAAAATTTTCTTCATTTTTAATGAGAATTCTCACATTTGGGAACTCAGCAAATGAATTGGCTACGATCGCCTTCACTCGGTCGGACATTTTCGAAAGTTTGATATTTGATCCGAGTGAAAAGAAAATGGCACCATCTTTTGCATCGTTCAAAAAGGTTTGAACATCTTCGTTCAATGAATAAGACGATTGATTCACGTGAATGCCACCGATTTCAATCAAATTCGGTGCTAGCGGCTGTGGGGTTGTAAGTGTCACATGTGAATTGACAAAAACCAACGAAATATTCCGTAAAACTTGATCCAAACGTGGAACATCGGTTTTGTTTGGCCAATATTCTTCAAGCAATTTCTGCTGTTTCGGTCTGTAGTACAATACTGTGGCAATGTCTTCGAACCAATATTCCAATGAGTTGGTTACTCTTTCCCAGAAATTCATTTTGTCCGAGAATCCAGAGATTATGTTCGGCACATGCGATGAAAAATGTGACAATCCAACAAGATCCGAGGTCCACTTTGATGGAATGGTCGTTGAAAATGCAATTATTGGCGCATTATAATACTGACCCAAAGCCATCATTGCATCACCCACAAATAAGTTGGCAATAACCACATCAAAATGACGATCTTCACGAAGGAAACTGTGGAATCTTTCATTTCTGGTTGTGAATTTTGTGAAATTCATACTAGCATCATAAGCTGTAGATATACGATTCCAGAATGGCAAGTTATTCAGATTCACGAAATTGTCTGAGCGCACAGCTGTGAAAAAAGACCGATCTTTTTATTTGTATACAGAAATTTTTATCAATTTGATGCATTTTACATTTGATTGCGTCCGATAAACTGTTTTCCATGAAAATTTCTTCATAATTTTGTAATGGACTTTTCGCTTTGAAGGCCGTAATAACTGTAACTTCATGACCACGCAGAGCCAGCTCTCGCATTAGCGAATTCATTACTATGTAATGCGATTTAGACGGAATATGAAGAACACCCAAGATCTTATAACTGTTTACCTCGGCACCAATCACACTCAAAAGAATCAATGCTAGAACATACACTTTCATTTTGCGAATAGTTTGTCGTTATTTCGTACACACGACGGTTAAAAGATTAAAACTTCGACGAAAAAACTTTATTCGAAAACTGCCTATAAAGCTTAAAAAACGCCGAAAAAGCTCTAAAAAAACGTATATCCTGCGATATTACAACAATGACACAAAATGCTTTTTTTCGAAATAGAATGGTAGACTGCGCTGCGAAATAACAATCAGGTGACAAGATGATTTAAAAACTGATCTGATGAAAATGAAATTGTCTTCACGGGTCACCTCGATTAAAATAGAGTTCTCCTATTTTAAACAACGCTTATCTTACGGCGATACAGCACACACAAAACTGCCGCACATACTTCTCTTCGATTCGGTTCGGTTTTGTGTGTGAATTGGTTGCGATGGTTGTGTGCGTGAGAGAAGTATGTGCGGCACATACTGGTATATTAAGCAGAGTATTAAAGAGGCTTGCTGCTGAGCTATTCTATCGCGCACGATTAGTTTTAAAAATCGAACAAGATAGTCTTATCAGTTCCAAAGATTCCAAAGAAGGGTTTAAGTGAGAATACTGCCAAATTTGCTCACAAATACATACAAATTTATGTTTATATACACCGTTACTTCATTTAGTTGCCTCTGCGAAGATTTTTTGGCCACTAGTTTGCGATTCATACACAGAACGCGTTTTAATTGAATAACAACGTGTGTATTTGCACAACATGACCGACTTTATTGTTTTCGTTATCAGCCTGTGTCAAGAATTACGATTTAATGAAAAGATAAATTCTATTCGAAAGACGTAAGCAAAGTATGTGGCAAGTCATTGTGAACGCAAAAATCGTGAAAACACAGCAAATAATCAAAAATGCCCAGCAATCGAGATTGTAAAACACATAAAACGGCATGTCAATGGCGATGCTGCGTAAATGTGGGGCACCTTTATGTTTGGCGACATATTTAACCCAATAAATCGCTGTATCAAGTGGTGATTTGATTTGATTTCGGAAGCGATTCGATGTGATCTGCATATTCTCAGCGTATCTACAAATCAGAACGTTTTTTTTCCGGTCAAATTCGAAATGATTATTTCTACATTTTGATTTCAAACCTCGGATCAGTAAGCACTTTTGCCAGTCGAAGTTTTTCAGTTGTCAATTCTTCATATGACACACTTATACCATAGCCTCTGCGCTCTGCCATGTTCATGTTCCGTGTTTGATCAGAATAAATCGGAATGCCGATGATGGGTTTTGCGAAATGAATCGCTTCAGTGATGCTTAATGTTCCTTTTTGAAAAGATCACACGGAATAAAACACGGAGTTTTGTTTCAAGTGCAATGAAAATACGAACCTCCTTGTGTGATAAACAGCTTAACTTTTTCATGTGCCAAAATGGTTTGTTGCGAAAGCCATGGGCGTATCATCACGTTTGCGGCATTATGCGAAGGAATTATTATTTTTTCTCTCGATTTAAAAATGATGCGAAATTCTGGGAACTCATTAAGAGCATTGATAATTGCATCCTTTTTGCTTTGAACAAATTCCGAAAAATCAACGTTAGATCCAAATGATACATAAACAGCACCTTTCGATTCATTCAAAAAAGTATCCATTTCTTTTGAAAGTGGAACGGGTGTTCCCTTTTTGATAAATAATCCGGCTACTGGAATCATATTCGGTTGGGCTGGCGTCGGAGTTTCCAAAACGGGATGAGAATTATACAGAACGAGTGAAACATTCCGTTTCAGCACTTCGAGTGATGGCATCGTTTTACCATTTGGATACATCGAATCAAGAATTCTCTGTTGGACAGGTGCATAAAGCAATGGATTCATCACATCGTCGTACAAATAACACAACGAATTGTACGTTCGTTGCCAAAAGTTCATTTTGTCGGTGAGTCCGGTGAATGTGTGTGGAAAAGATGCTAAATTTGGCACACCGACCAAATCTCTAGTCCATTTACTTGGTGCGGACGGAAAAACTGCAATGATTGGTGCATCGAAATAATGCCCTATGCTCAAAACGGCTTCATTTACAAACGCTTGCACAAGCACAACATCAAAGCGTTCATTCTGTTGTAGGAATTCTTGGAATTGTTTGCTGTGCATGGCCCAACCAGCATATGCATTGCTCAGTTTATACGCCGCATTTTTGAATGCAAAGCAATTCAACCCGTTCATATCCAGTGTCGAGTGAATCGGTCTATCTGTAAGAGTGGTTTTGCTTGATATGAATTTCACTCAGTGTAGCAATTTTTATGTTTACCTCTGGAACTGGGGAATTTAAAGCGAATGTGCCGCAGATTTTTCGCCGGATCGTATGATTGAAATGGGGTTAAGAAAGTGACTTCGTTTCCATCTTCTGCTAAACCGTTCATCAACGCGTTGAAGAAGATGAAATGGGATTTTTTCGGGAAAATTGATATACCCAAAATTTTATAACTATTCACTTCTTTGATGACAGTTGCAGCGGAAAATAATGCAATTAAAATTGAGCATTTTGTTAGTGTTAATTTTGAGCTCATATTGAATTTGTTTTGTTCTTTATGCCAAAACTTATTTGAAATGTTTCAGAGGGTATGAAATCAATTCCGCCAAATTGACAAAACTGAAAATAACTGCGATGCAAATTGAAATAAATCCTAAAACCGAATGTCCATTTGAATTGCATTAACATAATCAATAATGAAGTTCTTACGATTATTTCAAACTATGAGCACGGAAAACCCATTAAATATTCCATTAAGTTCTATTTCGTGATTATACAAAACAAAAAACTAACATTTTGTTGTCATCATTTGGAATATGGTCATGAATGCTTTTAAAACAGTTTTCTGTAAATTTAACGTGGCTAAAAGTGTTCCATTATTCATCTACCGTTCATTCCCATCCTTATCACTCAGTACATTTTTATTATTTTTAGTTTTACATTGGCACGATTACTGCAAACTTAATCCCATATTTAAAACAGCTAGTTTTCAAATGCATTTTAATTCGTGTATTTATACACTTAAACTGCATTCATAAGCCGCAGCAAAGTAATATTAAGCCAAGCTCATTAAAATCAATTTACCGTTGTTCTTTCCAATGTTTCATGGTTCTTCGTGAGATTTAACTTAATTATCGGCTGTTCATCGAAAAAGAAAATTATATTGACTGGTAGTGGTTTTAATTCTTCAATCGAAATTTTATAAAATGCATAAGGGTTTAACGTAAACTTGATAATTTATTAATTGTGCCAAAACAAGTGTAGCAGATAGGTGATGCTTGAACAAAAATCTGAAACCAAATTTGATGAATTTCAATTGTACAGCCAACAGCAATCACTACCGAGAGCTGATTGAGCGAAGAAAGTTTATTCGAAATATTAAACGTAAATTTTCATCTCTCCCAAGAAAATAATGATTTAAACTCATCTCATATTTACAGTTTCAGGCATTTTATTCAATTGAAAAATGGTAGAAACCAAAGTTGGTGTTATTTATAATTGGAAGGCTATCTGAAAATATTTCCCATTATTACGAAAAAAAAATTACCAATTTGTAATTTCAAAAATCATGGAATCGAAGTATTTTCACGTGATGATTCATCTATTTCGTGAGAAAAGTGCAAAACTATTATGCAACATTCTGAAAAAAAGGATTACATTGTCAATTAACCGCATAAACTGTGATGTAATAAAAGGAAATTGACTTCGAGTCTTTCTGTAATAAGCTTGAGAGGTTTTGAAGCCAATAAATGATATTGACTCTGGTATGAATTCAAGGAGTATAGAAAATGTCCAAATACAACGATATAACGTGCAAGATACAGGCGCAAAATGTCTAGACTTGATAGCAGTGCGGTTAAGTTGTATGATTGAAATTGGACAGCATTTAACAAGATCAAATACTACATCCGAATTGATCAATTTCATTTCAATTGCATATTCCACATAGTTTCACGTTAGATTTAATATCATTGTATGAATCCAAACCCAAATCCGAATTGAATATTAAATCGAAATGCAAACCAATCTTCATTAAATCACATTTCAAAGCCACATTCTTCGTCATATCCATTGGGCAGCGGTCGTTAAACGTATACTGACTACAATAAATTACAAAGTAAATGATACTGTTTCAATTGTCAGCATATTTCCAGAACACATCATTGTTAAATACATGATAACAATCGATAAACCAAAGTTGACCGAATCTTTCAAGTTTAGAACTGCGTAAATTTAAGTGGCCACACCACTTTGTAGTAATTGAATAGTAGTAAAGTCATACGATTAATGTGAGTAGTAGGAGAGATAATCGAAATATAAGTGATAATAAACATGTGCGAAACACATAAATACCTAACAACAATTGATAATCACAAGCGTAGAAGCGCGCTACATTTTATTATCTCCGATAAAAATCCGAATTTCTCGACAATTTGGTATTTCAATTGTTGATGTACGTCTCATAAATAAATTATATCCTTTAAAAATAGTTGCTATGTAACTATTAAGCCCCCATGAGGAATTTCAAATAAGATGAAACATCGTTAATGTGCACTTTTAATAGTTATCAACAGATGGGAAAATCCATTCAAAGCACCCAATTCATTTCGTGAATAAACACATTTTTCTTTCATGCTATTGAATACGAAATGAAAATTAGTAATTTTTCTTATCAACACGTTGACGTAGATCAATGGAATTCCTTTCATTGTCAGAAACCAAGATTAAATTGATTCAGTAGTGTTGTGTGTCTGGGTAATAACCATTGAATGTTTGACAAATGTAAAGATTCTCTAAATTCTTATCTCATTTGATACCGAGGTATCATTTTGATACAAAGATATGTGCCAGAATCGATACACCAGTGGTCGTTGAATGCATCACATGACCAAAAATCAGTGGCAAAACGTATATCCGATGAAACGATAATCATTCCAGTGTGTATATATGTACACGAACAAAGATTGACTCATTGACATGTACACGACATCATAGTCACCAAGAGAATCCGAATATTACAAAAGAACAGATGCTTCTCCATATCTTATCAAATATGAGTGAACACTCAAAAGAGTGTATAATGTAAATGAGGCGTAAAACCGAGTCATTTCCAATCCGAAACGGCTTTTTTGCTGACTTCAAAGTATTATAGACGAGAGCATAACACTTTAGATGGAAGCATTCCATCTGTTCACAATCTAGCGCAATCTCGAGTGATTAATGCTAAAAAGTGACAATATTACCGATACGAATTCAATTCGGCTCGTGAGAAGCGCCATAACTAATCGATAAATACCCATAAAAGAGATGGTATACATACATTTTAAGAGTCCACTTTCATTCAACTAACGACAACATCGAAAACTACGACCGATGTTTAAAAACTGTTTTCAATCGATAGCAGCAGTTAGGTAATTTGTATCTTCGGAAGGAAACTTGGCGCTATTTCGAAGCCATAAAACATTGAGCTTTAAATTTTCATTTTGCACAGCATAAGCACGCCGGCAGTAATGGGCTACAATGTGTTTGTGCACGTACACGTAAAATTCATGGGGCTGCATTGCAATGCATTCGATGCTGTATAACATCGGTAATAAATGTACATGACACGGAAATAAATTAGAATAGATCAGCAAAAATTAGTGGCTAAGAAACAAGTGCTAAATCATATGCCAAGCACTTTGTAATAATTATGAATAAACAAAACTTGAAGCGCGCGGCACAGCGTAACGTAATACGCCAAAACGTAATCGTGACGATGTGTGTGAGTATAGATTGTTATATTGCATATGCTTTCGTGCATCCCCGACATGTTTGTGTGTGTGTGTGTGTGTGTGTATGCGTTGCACCCCACTCGCTTTTTGAAAGTGGCAACTTTGCAAAAATCATGCATTTATTATGGAAATTGCGATATCGTAATAAAATCATAGGATGTAAATACAAACGAACCTCCTGCAATGAAGATATATGCCGTACGCGTGCCAATCGTTGGGGAAACACTTCATATTCCGGGGCATTAAAAATTGCACTTGCCGAAGCAAATATATACTATACTACATACACATAGAGTGCGCATTCGTTGCGCCTCGCGTTCGACTTTAAAGTATACCCGAACACATAGTGAACGCTCCATGCCTGGAAATATATTCGAACGGAAAATACGGTGCAATATCTCACCGCGCTAATTGAAAAACATAATTTATGATTATAAACAGTGAGTTGTAGTGTGTGCGTAATATATTGTTGGTGTTGGTATGTTCTCTCCGTTCAACCTAATTTTTGGCACTTGGAAAATTAAGGTGAATCTTGAGTTCGGTGCGAAATGGATCATCATAACATTGTAGCTTCCGTGGCTGTGAAATGGAGAAGTACCATGTGGAAATCTGCACGCGGTAGAATGTAGAGCATTTATTTGACTAAAATCAAGTAAATTAGACACAATTCGAAATTCCTTTTTGATTTTCCACGCAGGGCGGAAATACCGGAAAAAAGAACAGCACCCAAATGGTGCCGGGCCACTAATGAAAACATTCAAAACATCCTTATTTCGGTGCTCGAATGAATGTATTCATCCTTTTCACGCCCGGGGTGACAAAGAGGTGAAAGAATCCTCTGGTGCGCTCCATTCAGATTAGTTCGTTCGCATGCTTGAGCCAATAAATCTCAACGAAAATCTTATCATCGGCAGCGATTCTCATAATGATTTCTAATCAAATTCCAATTGTTGATGAGAGTCACATAAATGTTCCGAATGGGAAAACCCAAAAACATTGGAATGGGAGGGATAAAGAAGGAATCACGCTCTTACAAAAGGTTGCTTAAATAATAATTGGACAAATTCACACCTAAACACAACCATGGCTTCGGTCGTTTTACCGCATTTCGAATGTCACACAGACACAAGTGTCATGCTATCCTATGCTCTTTGGCATTGCGTACGCTATGCGTGTGTGTCATATTTTCTCACTTTTGCTTTATTTCTATCGTATCTTTTCAGGCCACATTCGCATTCAACGTCTCACTAATTCGATTTTTCGAAATTATTTATTCGTATCTCGTATCGTTCCATATCACATTTTCACAGCACATACATGCATACACGCACCCACACATACACATTTCCGACGTGTACGAGCGTTGAAAATAAATAGAGGAGTTTATCTGACGGTAAATCGGTGCTGCGGAAAGTGTGCACAATGTACATTGGTTTTTCCGTAACGACACAACATATACACATACCACATTTGCATGCAAATATCCCGGGATCCTTGGAATATTTTTACATTAAAAACGATCGGCTTTGCTAGGGCAAAATCGACCAGGACATCGGACCGTGTACGGCGTGTGTTTGTATATGTGTTTTTTCGCATTTCAATTTCAAATTACATTCATTTGCGAATATTTTAACAATGTAAAATGCTTGAAAAAAATACACATGTACACACATACCGGATGTATTTTACCGCATCGACAACACTATTGGATATATCGGATGAGAATGGCCACCTTTCGAAAAAGCATGCACATTATTCTCGGTGCAAAAGATAAAATGGATGGGAATGTATTGTTTGTTGAATGGACCATAGCGGTCGGAATAGCTCGTTTCAATCAAAAAATCCCATTTTGGCTCTCACATACATCGCCTCATCTTTTGATGCGCTCGCACAGCGCGCTCTCATTTTCAATTCTGTTAATCACATTTCATTTTCATCATTCCGATGAAATAATCATAAAACAATCCAATTTTGAAACGCGTACGCGTGGGCACGAACATGAGCTCGCCCACTCATTCACTTCAGCAGGGATTGTGTGTGGAAAATTAATTATCGTTTATTAGATTTCGATTGAAATTATTAGTGCGTATCAACGTGAGCATTTTGCACAATTTTGCCGTTGACTGTTTGTTATTCGTTTGTGAATGGTATGGGATCCGTATTAATATCGATGCGGTGCGGTGTATGGTTTTGGATATGTTTTTCAAACTAATTCCAATATATTGCATAGAATACATTCACAACCATAGTTGGATATAGTAGTTAGGTAATGAGGGTTGGCTGGCTGGCCCGGCGCTTGATACCGATATTATGAGTGGCTTTAGTTTTCAGGGCTTTTCAACCATTTATTTATATAGAGATGTTACATTTAATTGCTGAAAATAGCCAGTCGACTGCTGTGGCAGGTATGGAAAAAATCCTTTATCTCAACGAAATGTATTTTAAACACCACGAGTATGGTGTGCCACCGGACGGATGCTATTTCAGGGAAATTCGGCAAAGAAAATTGGAAGCCAGATATGTGCGTATTTGTATATGTTCAAAACAAAAGAGACCGACCAGCAGCGAGCGATGTTTGTAAACACCATTTAAAATTGGTTTTCGGTGAAAATGTTCGCATCGCAAGCAGATGGGATAAGGCAAGGAGATACCCCACACTCTTCTGTTTAATGCCATTTATTTCAGCCGCACATTACATTGCCAGCATTTATATAAACAACATTGTTAATTTCTCGTGGTTTTGCAGAGTCTTCTCCGGCTACACTTAGAAGCATTTATACGGCAATGTTCGCATTTTGATGCGTTTTATCAACAGCTCTGAATTCCAACTATTAAATGAATGAGTTGGGAATGGCAAAAATGTGGATCGGCCGTGTTTGTGCGCTTGATACAAAATGTTCATGGATTTTGACACGGGTTCGTTGCTGTAAACACGCCCAAATGTTTCGTTCACCACGGTTTTTGATTACATTTCACATACAAATCCAAACAATCGAAAAACCGCACCGAAAATCATTATCGACGCCACATTTTAAACACTTCAAAGGATTCAGCCAACCATTATGTACTTGAAAATGTGAGTCGCAATTTAGATTTAATCATAATTTATCATATAGCGAAAATCTTTCCATCAAATTTATCCAAATGTATTCGTTTGAAATAAACCATCGTCGCAATGTCTGTGTTTACACCATCAATTGTATTCAATTTCGATAAATGCTCCGACAAGCTGCAGAGGAAAACTTTTAGGACTCAAGACTGAGATTATAAACGGAATTATACTGTTTGCAATTGGTGTTAGTGAAAACAGATAAAGATTATGGCATAAGTTTTCAGAAACCAACCAATCTTCCTTTAAGTAGGCAACGGCTTAACTGGGTCATTTCCAACAAAATACCTATATTTATGAATATTTCGGTGGATTTAATGCGATGCAAGAGCTGATATAACCAATAATTGTCTAAACAATGCTAACCAAACGGGTCGGCTACAACATGCTGTTTTAGACTTCAGACTAGATAACACGCGCAAATAACACTTCTTCAACTTTTGAGACCAGTAAACTTTTCTATTCAATTTCAACGCGATACCTATCTTCCAATCTCTTAACCCATGATTCTATATAATTTATGGGATAAAAGGTGATATTCAATTCAATCTCCTGATATAGATTCTCAATATTGGATTACTATTATTTAAAAAAAAAAACATATTGACTTTGCTTTCCTATTATTCTTCGAAAATTCTTCATTGAAAACTAATCCATATTTCAAACCGTTGACCAGAATGCTCAACATCTTTAAATATTCAATTGAATATGGTTGATGCAATTCCGTTGATTTAAGACATCCATTCCGAATGGAATGGAATGTAAAATACAAATGAAATGACAATATCGTTATAGCAATTAGACTGGTTCCAACTGAATGCATACTATGCATCTGTGCATTGCATAGACCTCAAGAAATCTGTCCCTATTCAGTAAATGAAATGCAAGTACATACCTCACGGTCAAGTGCTCTGATAACTTTAACTTCACCGGATTTTGGATCGACGGCAAAGTTTTCGGAGCCAATCAATCCGAATGTAACTTCACCGCCTTCCGGATCATATCCTTCCAACGTATAAACGATCCAACCAACTGGTGTGGCCTCGGATAGTGCCAAATTATTCATGTCTTCGGTGAATACGGGCGGTAAATTGCATCGACCTGAAATCATATATTGAAAATAGATGCAGTCAAATATTTGATGTTGAAAACTTCTTGTACGTTATTTATTCTAGTTCAAAACCCTACATCGTTTGAGATAACTCGGTCCCAAGTAAATAAATACATCGGATATGAGAAAACACATATAATTTATCTCTTTCGTTCGGGTTTTGCATACAGCGGCCCACCATATTGATTTATTGTGCATGCAGCTTGAAACCGAAATTTTCATACTAATCACCAAAATGCAGTTGCACATATTTAATGTGTGTGTTACGAACATCAAAATAAATATCATACAATATTTCAATTTATTTCCGGCATCTTATTCAAATAGGAACTTGACACAAGCTGCATCGAATTACTATAGCACATTTTATCATCAAACTTGAGTTTTTATGTATACAAACTGTACGTACAGGTTGTATTAATAGCAGATCTGAACGATGATCCATAAACCAAAAATTATTCAAACTTTCAATGCGTAAACCTTATTTTGAGCAAAATACCAAAACCAAACAACATGAACGGTTTCATTCGATTTAGAGATGAAACTCTTTCAACATTAAAATCATACATAAATACCAATCGTTTCAATGTTTGAAAATAGTTTTAATTGTGAAGGTATGATTTTGGTTTCCCAAAAATGTTCGCAATTTTCTGCAAATGTTCAGTTTTCCATGTGTTCTCACAGGTCATGAATTCCTGGATTTACACAGGTCAATTGGAGTAGAAAACATGAATACGTATGCATACGGGCGAAATGTATTAAAATTTCGCTTTGTCGAATCCGTTGGATGTTCAAATGGTGATTATTGTCGAAATGGTGAATGGTCGAAATCGAAATATAACTGCAACTCAATGGAAATATACTGCTAAACTATCAAAGAAGATTTCGAAAACACATCGAATCCATAAATTTCCGATGAATTTTATTCGCATTTCGCCAAATCATGAGCGTTGAGCGCACAAACATTCACGTCACTTACAAATGAGCTCCAATGGTTTTTTTTAACGGAAAATGCAAATCGACATTTGAATACCATTTGCTGTGGTGATTTAGGGATGAAACGTGAAAAAAATGCTTAATGTTTCACGTGTGGGTGGATGAACAAGCGCGCGCACACATCGAACGCACAACTCTTTGTGTTTGACGCAATTGCCAAAATCGAATGGTGATTTATGCGAAAAGGGTGTACGTGAAACGGTAATTATTTCTTCAAAGAGAATTCGAGTGACGTGACATAAAATCGGATCAGCGAGCTTAGTAAAAAAATTCTCTCAATGCGAATACGCCTAATTGCTTAGAATAAACTCGCTTAAATTGTTGAAACAACCAGAAACCCCGTAGACATCATTGTTCAAGGATAAATTTAATTAAATTCGAACGCGTTTCTGGGAAATTCATCATCGCCTAAAATCATTCCGAACACTGAGCCAACGCCGAAAATTGTACGAAATAGAGACGGCTTCACATTCATTTTAACAGATGTCGTCCGTTTGTTTCTCGTCATAATTTGTTGGTAGAAGCAAATGAAAAGCTTCTAAAGCTTCTATTATAAAATTAGTGTATGCTGATTTAAATGACTGTGACAGAAATTCGGTCGCTTTTCATTTACATAAAATCAATCCATTTCAGCATTAAATTTATTCACAGCACATATTTTGGGCGGGAGCTTTTAATGAGTGTTGATCGTTGAAATGTTTCTTTGGCTTCATACACAGCCTGATTAAGATCAGCAAACATCACAACGCTTTCGGAATAATAAATTATTATACTATTGCCGGTTTCTGAAATCATGCCATTCAATAAAATAAGACGCATTAGCATCATTGAAGAATTAAATCAAACGAAATGAAACGATGAAAGCATATTGCTTAGATGGAATTAAGTGTGAGTGGCATATTTGATGTGAATGTTTCTGTGCTTTGCATTTCCAATTACCACTTGCGAGTAATAATGGTACATTTCCGTGATTAAAATCATTTCCTATCCCAAAACTTTGGTATAAACTTCCATTTGCGATCAAATTAGTCGACTGGTGACAGTTTTTTTTGTATTTGTTATACCACAAACTCGTACCAAATGAACGCTACAGAAGAACAGTTCAAAGTAAAAGCTCAAGCACTGAAATTAACATGGCGTGAAATCGAATGTTTTGCAGGTGTTTTAATGCGTTACACAACGATTGTAAATACAACTTGTAATAAAATGCTTTTCTGTTTTATTCTCGTTTTTTTTCTCTCTTCCGAGAATCGTCGTCTTTTATTTCCCTCCCCTGAATGTCTTTGCTGTGTCGGTCCGAAACGATGTGCAATAATGAGAAATTTAATGGGAAAATTGTACATGGAAAAGTTTCATGTTCACTCTGCTGATTCTTTGTATACACACACAATAGTGAGGAGTTAAGTTTTATACTAAAGTGTCATAACCAATACATTCAAATATAGTTGATATATTCGAATGTGATAAATGTCATCTCATTTGTGTATATTAGTTGGTGCTGACATCTGCTTTTGCGATGAACTTTATCCCATTCGTATATGTAAACTATATTTGAATGTATTGGTTATGACACTTTAGTATGCAACTTAACTCCTCACTATTGTGTGTGTACGCGTTCACTTAATACATGAACTGGAAAACCCTGATCGGAAAGGGGATGCTGGCTGTGTACACAATGCCATGCCATCAAACTCATTCAAACTAATCTGACAATGGTGTTTCGGTAACAGACGGAAAAACGCATGGCGCACAGTGCACACACACAACAGCAACAAGCACATAATTGTAACTGTAAAAGTAGTTATATTTGTCCCGTTGCAAATGCAAAACATTGGCATCGTTGCCGCAAAATTACAATTCTGCCATGACAACACTGTGCGCTTTGGTAGTAGAATCGAAGAATTCAAACGAGAGCAACATAGAATATGTTCATTGTATGTTCAGTTCACCCTTGGGGAAGGAATAAAAAAAACCATCGTGTACGAGAAAAAGAGATAGAAATGAGAGCCCACGGATTTGGAATTGTACATACCCAAACAAATGTGTACAAAAGTGTCGTGAAATGCAGACAAAAGAGAAAAAGAGAGGGAAAACGCAAAACATTCAAGTTTACTTCCGACTCGTAGTCAGTACTCATAAATAGCTTGAAGTAACAGTTGCCGGTTTAATTTGGAAAGTTTTGTAGTTGTAGATGCACTTTTTCTTGTTGTGCATGGTCAAGAAAGAGAGCGAGTGTGTGTAAGAAAGAAGGAGATGGAGAGAAATGCAAAAAGAGACAGAAGGGATAGAAATAAAATGGAAAGAAAGAAAGAAAGAAAGAAAGCGAAGAAAAGGAGAGAAAATAAGGCAGAAATCGCTCGGTCTGCGATGAAAGAAATAGGATGAAAAATCGGTGAACAGAAAGAAGTAGTTGTATCCGATTACACAGAAGAAAAGACAGCCAGACATGAAGTGCTTTGGAGCAGTCGACAAATCGTTCGATCACATTATTTTGAGATGTTGTTCCGCCATGGTGTGAGAACATTTACATATTGCATTTCGTTTTGGGAAAAAGGAAGATGCTCGGCATTCAAAACGAAATTCGAAAACGAGAGACAGCGAAACTGCGAGTATCCGAATGAAATTGAAGAATATGGGAGTAAAGAGACAATGACGCATGCTGAAATGAACAACACAAAAAGCAATAAAAAGTTTCAAGTAGTAAAACATGTACACATTGCCTAAGTAAGTTGCCACGAAAATAATAATAAAACGAGATAGAGAGAGAGGGAGAGAGAGAGAAATGAACGAAATGAATATTTTGTAACTGCAACTTGGCAAAGCGTTAGCAACATGATGAAAATGGCATCAATACCAAAATGAAAATCAGCAACAAAAGAAGAGAAACGGAGAAAATTCGGTTGTGTTCAACGATAGTGCAATTTTTGGTGTAGAAATCGACTCTATTTCGTATGCAAACTCAAAGCACACAGATTAGTGTGTTGACGTGATATGAAACCGACATGGAAAATAAGCATCGCCATTGGCAAAAAAATGGGAAAAACCGAAGCGACAAATCAAATCCATTGACAGAGGAAATGCAAAACAAACTGGGTGTGTAGTGGTGCTGGGTTTTGAAATACCGTTGGCAAGTGGTATACCGACGGTTCTTGATAGATTTACCACTAACTCAGTAAATTAAAAACGTTCCGGTTTGGATGCGAAAAGAAGTCTACTGAGATTTATCTCCGATAGAATGCGCTCACTCTCGCTCACACACATACGCGCAAAAACTCCACTGCATGCATCGATTGAAATTCAATGTGGCACTACTGAAATCTTGTCGGGTTTTATATTCAGCTTGACCGGATTGTTTCAAGGGGTTTTCTGCATGTTTACCATTTCATTGTAAATATTTCCATGCGGTTGGTGGATGCCTTCATATTAGTGCAAGTGCAGGCCCAGTCACTCTCCAACGGTGACAACACGCGATGCGACCGAACGGTTGAGCCAGTTGGAGATCGAATGAAAATTTTCACAGGTTTTCACCTCTTTCGTATGCATCAGTAACGCGCAACCTGATATCGACGGTGTTTACATTCGGTTCGACTGTAGGCGCCTGCCAACACAAATTGCAATTATTCCGCTTGCTTGCGAACCGTATTATCGATGGGTTGCACGTTGCGCTCATTGTTGACGAAACATTTGGCATAATTGAAAAAATCGCACGCGCGGCGCTACGTACACCTCGATCGTACATTCAACGGTTAACATGCACAGAACATGTCACCAATTACAATTATCTACTACCACGCCACGATGCGAAAAAAAGTCCAAAGGTTGTGACACACACACACACAGAGAGAGAGAGAGAGAGGGAGAAAGAGGAGAGAAGGGGTGTGAGAATGAGAAACAGAGATAGCACAAACGCATGGGAATATGGAATTAAATATGCCTATTTTGTGAACTAATTACATAAAAAAGTCACGTCCCTACAAAATGCGAAAGCTTAGAA